TCGGACATCCGGTTGATTCACATTTGAAGTGTATTTCCGTAGTAGTTTTTGTGAATAGTACCGTGTAAATCCCAATCATTACCACTACCTTTTCTGAAATTTTCTCGGACTTGGTAAGTAGCCCTGTTAATGTGACCATCTGAATTACCGTTATCGGAATTGTGGATTACGCGTTACTTAATGAAATATAGATCGCCAGGAGTGATTTAAAAGACCACAAGGCTTACATTATAAACAAGTTCAGTGAAAGATACATACATTTGCCTGCGTACCCTCCGTTGTTCGAAGGTCGTCATGGGATCGTCACTAATTCCTCCTTACTTCAGTCCGAATGACAATAATTGACCGACCTCCTCCTGGGATGTGACCGTAAATAACGTAACGTTAACTACGTGGCTCTTTGTGCAACCGGGTTATAGGGTGTGCATGAATTTCGGATTCATAGTGTTGAACTACAGCCCGATTATTTGTCAGAGTGACACAGCTTCAAGATTGATTTAGAGAATATCTGCCTCGTGAATGGTTCGCAGAATTCACCAAACTCTCATGATATCTGCGTACCTGGAGACTAAGAAATCTCATCAGAAATGTACGTATGAATAAGACAAGGTCGCATTTGTGAAGGCTTGTACCCCGTATCAACCAGGTTTTCAAGTGGGTTAGTGAAACAAGATATCCACTTGAAAACGCTATTTGAAAATCCATCCAAGAACCCGGTTTGAAAATTCACTGAAAAACCCTATTTGAAAGTTCGGTGAATATCCACTCGAAAACCTGGTTTGAAAATCCAATTAAAACTTGATTCCCAAAACCCACTACAACACAATTTGCAAACCACTTTATGAAACCAATATGTGAATCGATTTCGAGGTGACAGCTGAATGTTTGTTGTACCAATTGTCAAAACAACTTGTTTAACAAATCGGAGTAACCGGGCTGACGCATACGTATTTCTTAATTCACATTCTCTTACCTTTCTGTTTCCCGTTTGAAACGGAACAGAACGAGAAAATATGACTAAGGTGCACGGATTCTGTAATTCACATGTTTTGTAATGTACTACTAGGTATAACATCATGACTATTATTCTTGTAACTTCGTCTTATCGGTTTGTCTTCCGTGAACAACAGTTATGCAATGATACACGGATTGTTGTGCTCACGTTGAAAGCTGTTGCGTAGTCAAACGCAGGTATTCTTCAGATGGCTACTGTTAAGCAAAACTGAAATTGTTAACACTGCATATTCATTGTATTAGACCCATTTTCCATGCACCCATATGGTCTTGTGCTTTTCAGAGCAAGCTCCCCATCCCGACCAAAGATATTGACGCTGTTTGCATAATCTCTGTGTATGTTGCATAACAGTTCACCTTTTGAAATGCCACCAAGGTGGCTCATACGTTTCACCTAAAGAAAAGAGATATGATCACAAACGTTGTTGAACAATTACAAATCTTTCCATATGACTTTATTTTGAAAAGAACCCTTCCGATGTGTCAAAATCAGCGTCTGGCCCAGCCACCGTAAACAGTAGCATTTATTGTGAGCCCTTTTCTCCAGTCGGGCCTTTGGTGTGCTGTGACATGTAAGACTGCATGCATGAAGGCGGCTGCGTGACGTGCCACGCAATGTACCTCAACAGCTCTGAACGGTAAGTACATCATGGAAATAAAGAAAAATTAGCCGGACCTCCGCTCGAGCTCCTCTCTTAGGAAGGGCAACCGGTGTTTATCAATGGTATCTTGAAAAGTTGCTGGTGGATGGCACCTAGATGTAGAAGGAAACAGAATGTAAGACCGACTGAATCGGAGTATGTATGGGTGGGAAGTGGCTGTTGTTCCGTCAACGTTGACGAGTGTACTGGGTATCAGCATGGAACCTTGTTATGAGCAAGTATATGAGGAGTCAAACGAGAAATGGTGTGTATCAACCTGTAGCTTGGTGGAAGGTCCACGTCGATACCGCACGGACGACAATTTTCTGCTTTGTGCAATGTATTCCGAAATGGAAAGGTCCGTTACAGAGACATCCTTGTTGCTTTCTGTCAACCCTTTTGGATTTTTTCTTAATGAATGGATAAAAATTACGTCGCCTTATGAATGAAAATTTAATTTGCTTGCATCAAACGTTTTGCCATGTGTGCCACAAAAAAAAGGCATTACTGGCCATAGCGTCGCTCTCCCCGATAGCCTAGGAAACGTGAGCTCTGGCATCGCCATGGATTTCCAAAAGATTGGCAGATAATTTACGACGTGTTCTTCATAATGTCCACCATACCTGATCCCCCTCAATCGATGTTGAGCACGGTGGTCTATTTAGCATTTGAGATACTTCAACAACACTGCCGCTGACCCAACTTGCGGAACAACCCATGACAGCGTCTGTTTTCGCGGAAACAACTATCGCGAACATAATCGACTGAAATAAACGGCTTCAACTGAAACAGAAACACGTAGAGGGTGAGATGAGCAGAATACCGTCTAAGTGAAAATAGTAGGAATAGTAATGTTTCGTAAAGTATGTATTAGTGGTATGATTATTAAAAAATTTCCAGTACATACTAGGAAACACTTACACTGAATATTGTGTACGCCAGTGTGCTCAGTTTCCACATAGTTTAGATGAAATATGTGCAAATAAGAAACAGTACTTGGATAAGTTATCCGGATTTGTGAAACTTTGGAAGCAAATAGTTTCTTGCATTATGCTCATGATTTGTAGCAGCACGTTATGAATGATGGCATAGCAGTCGTAGACACAATTTCTGGAAACAGTGTTCCTAAAGACCATTTATGTTGTTTCCCAATGAACCCCACTCTGAGTAACATTTATGTTAGTTGTAGCTTGGTGACGCATATCACCATCCATGGATGTTTCGGTCAAGCTCTTGAATAATTTGATGGCTGCATTCCGTATCTCATGAACATTCTGACGTAGTTTTTGAAGATTCCACTTAAATGCAAAAGTGGAAAAATGAACCAGTGTTTTTTACCTGAAAACATCAGCGTACAAATATGAAAGGTTATGAACATAATGTGGTGGATTATCAAAACCGGAGTTGTGAGTATTCCAACACTCGGCGGAATACCTCAACGCGAGGAGGCACATCCAAAAACCCACAGCGAGCGGATTGAGGACGGCGTGGGTGACCGGATACGTCATCTCTCGACTGGATCGGACCAACGGACGAGACATAGCGGACAAAATGGGATGGACGACCAAATCGGAGACGCGATTGTTGCAACACACAAGAATATCTTGGCATGGTCGTGGAATATGGTCAGAGCCCGTATTGGATAGATGGCGCACAACACGAGCGACCGGACGAGCCAGCGCTCAATGAAATCGGATCAACGGACAAAGAATGGCAGCCGGGAAGCCCCATCCCGATAGAAGGCCCCGATCACACACATAAACCAGACAGAATTGCAAGTGACGCGTGAGCGTGGGTGGAATTTTCGCTCATAAACGCGAGCGCGCACATAGCATGGGAACTAGCGTGTTGGACAATAAAGATTGTGCTTTATTGGACGCCTTTTCGCTACAATAAGACATTTTTTATATCAGTAGTTCAAGTACTATTATACAAATCGTATTATCCATTGTTGTACATTGGAAATGTGTTATATGCATTTCCGCAGAGTTGGAGGGCAGAAGTTGATATAGTAAGCGCTCTCGGTCGAACATGCAGCATAGATGAAATGCATTCATGCGACTATACTGTGGACTATGGGACTAGATGAGTAACACTTTTCTGAATGCCACTTATTACACGAAGTGCATGGGCTCAGTGGGAAAATTTCGCATCATGTCAATAGGTAACGCTTTAAATAGAGATTTCTCATTCTTCACGCGATGATGAAATGGTAAATTCCTTCGACCGTCCGCATCGAACGACAGCAATCGGAGGCAAACACCAGCAATTAGACTATTATCTGTGCACTTGTCACACTGGTAGGTTGCCGAAAAATCGCGAATCCAGCCAAAATAAAGTCTCACCAGTGTGGTGCATACGACGAAGCGTAATTGAATAGAACAACAATGGGTTCAACGAGATGGGAAGCATTACACAATAGGAGCAACTGCAGTTCGCCAATCGCATCTTTCAAGGAGTCACCTGAAGGTTTAAGCTTCCCGTTGTTATAAAAGATACCAGTAGTGAAGGAGGAGTGCACGCGACACTGTATTGGCTATGTTTGATTATCCGAATCTTCATACGAATACGTATCATCGACGTTTAATTGTATAAGTATCAGAGATTCCGGTGGCTCAAAAGTTTCAAACAACTGCAAACGCTCTTGTGAACCGACGTGGACTCCTTCTTCTCAACAGAGTTGGGCGCACGGAATAATGTCCGCAGATCTCTTGAGGTACTTCAGGTAAAGTAGTTCAAGAGAGTCAAAAGTTTCTTCATATCTCTGAATGTAACGGACGTATCTCCAAACACGGTACTGAGGTCTAGTGGGAAATCGACTAGAAACTGTTAGCAGTATTGATTGGACATTTATCTGAAGGCGTCACCTTTAGCGAGCGAAAAAAAGTGAAAAATGGCTAACATGACTTTCTTCCTAACTGATACGTTGTACAACGCCTAACGGATAGTGATACGATGTCTTTGATAATTGTGAGGCTAACGATTAATAAATAACACTGTTGGTACGTTTAAAAAATCGGAAATACCCTTGTCTTGTTCAAAACTATTGACGACGTTACACCCGTTTTGTGTTCCCATGGTATCTATCTTAGTAAATTATTTTGCATTAAGATTCTTCTCTGGACTTAACTGTATGTTTCTCCTTATCCGCCAGTTGATTTTAAGGGAGGTGCCGTGGTAAGAAATGCAGACTGAGCGACATGCGTTCCGACAATTACTACAAGCTTAAGTAATTTAGTCGCTATAAACAAGGTGAACTGTACGAAAAAAGGATAGTAAATCATTTTACTAATAAGTAGTTTGGCAGATTTATGATTTTAGATGAGACCCAACTGTGAAAAGTCAGGGCTTCAGCTGGATTCGAACCAGCGACAGAAACACTATACCTCAAAGCGATTAGCGCTGTACCAGCTGAGCTACGAAGCCGCGCCAGGAGTGCGGAAATTTCACATTTGGGCTCGGTTATTCACCCAGCCAACTGTCTCATATGGAATCCACCAAATGATCCAGGGGATCGACTGCCCAAACAGGATTTATCGAACAGTACATGCTGGAATTCACCAACGTCACTATTGAACACAGAAATTTTATTAATAATTAATTAGTTTGGCAGATTCATGAATTTAGATGAAACCCAATTGTTACATGTGTGTTAGATCATAAGAGTATATATATATAGTATCTATTATAATATACAATTGAATACGGTCTCACAACATATGCATGTCATGTCTTTATTGTATTGTACATCATTCTACTATTCTCGCGTACTTGTGGCGTTAGATCCCACAGGTTGTTGTCGCCTGACTTTATATGAAATAGTGGTATAAAACCGATGAATAAACTCTGTTATGCTCACGTGTTAAATCTTCGTACGAGGCCGGTAATTGGCAGTCAGCTAAAGCATTCCATTAGTAGGTAGTATGTCAGTTTCATTGCTTCGCAGCATCAACTACACTCTGATCATTTTGAATACTCCCCAGTAACACTGGAGTCATATAAATATTGTTCACCCTTGGCTAGTCCAGTCCTTGACCCCACTCGTTATTGTGTATCGGGGTTTCTTGTAGTTCACTTTCTCATTATATGTACTTGAGTACATAAAACATCCTGCATACGCAAAATCATATAATTGTACTGTTGTGCATTCGCATACCGTGTGCAAAATTATTCAACAAATCGATATCAGAGAACACGATACACATTAAACAAAAATGTTCTACATAGTTCTACCGACATTTATACAGTAATTCTACGTTCGTATTTTAATAGCATAATTATGTAACCTAAAGAATACCCAACCCGCATCCCATAGAGTGAGTTTCGTTTCGTACACGACTTATTGAGAAACTCCGATGAAATGCATGTGACCTGAAGTTTTAGTAAATGGTACAAATGATATCTTGAAGTGCAAAATAAAAAAAAAACATATTTCAGTTAACCCGCCAACATCTGACAATATATAATGTTCAGATTACAGGTAAGTCACGTCCGTACGTTGAATCAGCAAGGCGAGGAGCGATGAAAACATCTACAGAAGAATATTCAAGCTGCAGTACCCGAAATTTGAAGAAAACCTAGAAGATTTGGGCAAATTTCAACAAAAACTTGCACAAGCTCTTCAATAACGCTTCGCAGAAGGCTGCAAGTGCAAAGAAACATAGCGAAATGGAATTAACGCCAGGCTGCCCGTAAGGAAGTGTGGTGTACAAATGCACACACTGTACACGTCGAACAACACCCTCAAAATAGTAATGTTTATTTACCCAGCTGATACGATAACAAATTGTAATTTTGCAAACTACGGATATAAAGCATCCTGAGATATCAAATCGAAAAGGCGAACTTGGTCAACTCACACGACTTTCAGGTTAATAATTGTGATGAACGTGACTGACTTGGTTTGTCTCCTTCTACCATGCAAGTGTTTACTATTTCAATATCCCGTACAAATGGTACGTACGATTCAACAATAGACGTTCTATGCACTTGTACCTAATTGTGTTTTGCGAATCTTATACGTTCGATCGCCATTACATATAGTTCAGTTTTAATTACAACAGTAGGCCTAATATATATATTCCAAGAATAGACGTTTGGCTGTTGATGATGAACTGCATGTCTGTGAGATGATGAATCACTTTAAGAGTACTGATGGATGGTCGGGGATTTGGTTAATTTCAAGTTGAACATCACATTTTAAGAATGTTCATGAAATAGGGTTGTATGTGAACAAGAAGTATGGGGTTAGGATAGGCCGACACGATTTAGGCAACCTACGCACTAGGCACAACAGATTTGATAACCATGACGAAATTATTAAGTTGCAAGATTTATTACAAGTGCAAGACAATTTGGCATTCTTCTGCGAGAGAAAGTGCTAATGTTCCCTATGTTTGTGTGTAAAAGTGCCTTCTGATTGTGTCCTGGGTATGAGGATGTTACTCTCGGGGATGCCATTCATCAGTTAAATTATGCCGGCCCCATACTATAGCCTGCTACGTTGGTAAATGTGACTGGAGTAAGTGTTACTTTTTTATGCAGTAATGCCGAATAAGAACACTGCCAGTTATATGATAGTCTTGGAACACATGCTTAAAATCCTGCGTTACATTTCTGTTGTTCTAACTCTCATTGTTATTCGTGCAGCAGTACAATAGAGGGCAACACGTGACGTTTCCTCATAATGCACCATCATATTTTATCGGTTTCATTTAATTAATAATGTTTCTCGGCGTTACCATCAGTTAGTAGACCTAGGTAAATATCAGAAGAACCCTGTTTACCAGTGAACCCGCAATTTTGTTTTCACTGGTAACAGAAGGCGGTTTAATAGCCTGCTGCAGGCTGTGAAGTCCATCGGTAATGAAGCACGTCAGTATCCCGTGAATATCTGTCTCGTTTATAAGAATGGTTAGGCCTTGCATAGACTTAAGCCCACTGTGCTGTTCGGTAACCACATCACCAGTCGTGTGGAAAACGAGAACAATCACATTAAAAGTGCAGACTCTGAACGATCCAGTGTGTGTGCCTTTTTCCAGTACATCGCCAAACGGTGCAATAGTGTGTTTGATAAACGCCAGTTCAGGTTAAACACTGAGCACATGAGATTGTTTAAATCGTTGATGGGCCTGGAGTATCTTCCAGCGATTCTGAAACCACTGTCATAATATGTCAGGAATGTTTTCCTTAAGTATCACGACACAACGATAGTAGATATAGCTTATGCAAAAGGTGTGGGGAATACGCTGCAACACGCTGATACTGTATGGGGTAATCGGTGTGACTGTTGTTTTTCATCCTCATGGATGATCCGCTATTGTCATACTGTTGCCGTGTTTCCTTTGATTGACAGACCTCTTTCCAGTTGAGGGAAGTCGGTGGCTTTTCCACCCCTGATAAAGCCGAAATCTGATTTTCTGAATGTCTACTTGCAATACATGTCGTTCACCATCATTCGGTTTTCTGGTTCAAGTCCTCTAGGAAATGTAGAGGACTGGAACCTTTCTGTCTTGAACCATGCCTATTGTCCACAATAATTAAACGAGAAAACTGAACGACTGAGAACGACGTGCATTGTAAGTAGACTGGAAAAGCCAGCTGTAAGCAAAGCACGATCAACCAGTAGTAAGTAGCCGGAAATTGTTATTATCATTATGATCTTGGACGGTCGAACAAATGAGAGAATGCGGATATGCCTACAAACAATGTCAATAG